AAGAGGGGAACACATCGATGTTCTGTGAAATGAGACATGGCGGACAGCAACACAACTGTAGGTTGCCACTGACCTTGCCCTTGATGAGGAATATGGTGGCGACGCCGATGGACACGAAGAACGCGATAGACACGATCACGGCCACCTAGATAAAACATGCAACGGTGGGGGGCCGGTTTCCTCATCATCCAGGCATCGATAGAGAGGAGATAGAGAAGGAAGAGACGTGGGAGCACATTTATTTGCAATGCGCGTGAGCTTGTCTCTTGTAGAAACGGAATACAATTTAGTCTACAGTACAAGTAACTCCAGAGCTACACCTTAATTTTACGGCAGTATGCATGCTTCGTGCCCATCTTGGGTAGTGGCCCTGGAAGGAGGTCCAAAGGAATCCGCATCAGTTGGACGGTCCGGATGTGAACGGTTTTCGATAAAGTTCTTGGAAAAAAACCGTCTTCTGGATTCGAATCGCGCGCATGCTGCTGACGAGTCCGAGCCTTGTACGACTTCACAGGGTGCTAAATGGCAAACGGTAGTACTGTAGGGAGCACTAGGAGCAGGAAACAGCGAAACGAGTCGCCCCACGGATTGTGTGTCTGCCAATAATGTTCCTCTCAGCGGGAGGTGTGAGTGTAGGTATGCTACATAGACTATTGTAGGCAGTAGAGAAGATGTGCAATAAACAGCGGGACTCTACCCTAAACAAGTAATTCGTGAGAGGGACACGCGGCAGCGGCAGCAGCAACAACAGCAGCCAAAACACTAACAGTGGGGCGCGGCAGGGGGATAGGTCGCCAATTGCAAAGCCCTACTCGAGGAATTGATCTATCCTAACGCCCACACATGACTCGGCGAAAAAGTCCCAAAACGCAACTCACTCCGTAGACCTCGACCAGATCAGCTTTTGGTGTCCACTCCGCTGGGCACGGAAGCCCGCAGGTGTCGAGTTGATCACACGTATCAGACATGATCACTGCTGCTTCGCTTTTGCGGCTGCTCCTTCCACTGGTTCCGCTCGTGCTGCTGCTGTTGCTGCGGGGAGTGCCAGCCTGAGATCCTTCAAGTCATCAAGTCGGGGCAAAAAGGGGTCAGACCGTACGAAAAGATCGTCCCAAGGGAAAGTTGATGACGTCACGCCATCTCCCCTCTGTGCCAATGTAAACGCTGTAGAAATAAAAATCCGAAACGAATTCCGCATTCTAAAAGTCTACAAACAGGAGTCGGAGAAGCCCAGAGGAAGAGGGAACCATCTGGTGATTGCACTACTGTACCATAAACCTCTCTCCTTGATAAACCCTAACCCTCGACACTCAATAGCCCACACTTGATGGGGTATATGCTTGTGTATGCATATCCTCATGGTGTTGGCCATTTTTTTTAAATGTAACCAAAGTGTTGACATGTAGTCTATATGGCTAATATGGTTGATGCGCCCGGGTTTCGAACCGTGAAAGCTTTTTTTCGGACACACCATGGGTTACAGCAGTAGCGTGTTGCATATTCCGTATCATTGGCTGCTGCAGGCGGGGGTTGCTGCGGTAGCGCAGCAGAGAGACCGAGAGAGGACGAGGGGTGCCACATCGAAAGGGGACAGCGAGGAGAGGGCTAGCCGTGAACACAACAAGTCAAAGAAAGGGGGGTGAACCAAACCACAGCGTCGTGTGTGTAAAGGTACGCAGAACTTTCATGTGTTCACATCCGTGAAGTAGCTAAATATATATGTAGTAGCTAAATACAGCAGTGTAGCTGGGTATCGAACTTGCCGCGAACTACATAGTCTTATGCCTATGCAACGGACGTGAGCGCGGGTACTGGCATAGCGTCTGCACTACAGCAATAGTAGCGAAATCAGCTCATAAAAAAGCTGTGTTGCGCGCGAGGTCTCGTTCGCGTAGACTGAGAACTGCTGTGACAGGATGCCAGCGGTGTCCCCCATGTGTGCCATCCCCACCGCGACCTGATACTGCAAGCGGTAATACGTATTGTATTATAGCTGCTGGTATTATCAATTGTAATGTACGCGGCCGATAATCATATATATTCCGATTCATCGTTGAGGATGAGAAAAAAAGAGTTGGATGTGCCCAACAGCTGTAGTAGTCTATCCGGCGCAGATTTCGGACTGTTTTCAGAGGCTGCTGCGACCTTCGATATTTCAGCCCCAGTAGCAAAAGCCTGAACGTGCCAGCACGCACGACGCCTCCTCATGGAATGTTGCCTTCTTTCTCTATGTGGGAATAAAGTATGTTGATAGAGCCAGTGTCAAGATCATTTGTCCTTTCTTTGGGTCTTTTTTTATTAAATAAACTTCAAATCAGAGCTTACAGCACCTGTGCCGTTTTCTCCAACCCGTGGTCTCCAACCCGTGGTCACACAGAAGGACAACTCTCGCCCCCTACGCACCCCTCCTGCGGTGCTTTGCCTTCGATGTTTTATGCGAGAGAAGTGCAGCACTCTCTTCCCTCTGTGTACACACGAACTGCATAGCGCTTTCGAGGCCAGGAACGGAAGCGAGAGAAAACCCACTTTGCAAGAATAGCTCGCTTACGCCGAGATTCGAACCCCTGACCCTGACCACTCGAGGGTTTTCGAGGATACCAACTAGACTGCCGGGGCGACCGGTGTCTTTGGACCTAGGCTACGCTACCCAAAGGTTGGACTGTCAGCCGTTTATTTGCTATTTTTCACCAAGGAAAAACGGGGAGGGGGGACAGAGAGTGGGAGAGCGAGAGAGGTGCGGAGAAAAGAGATAGACAGGTGTGCACATCTGCGCATGTAGCTATCTCCGCCAATAGGCCATGAGGGCAGCCCGCGACAGGGTGCTGGCCGCAGACAGGGCCCGGTACCGGTATGCCGCCGTTTTTCGTTTTACCGCCTCTGCCAGGGTCGTTAGCACGTCCAAAAAATGTTCAACATGTACATGTTGAACAAAGGGCACAACCCGAGATCGGTTGGGCCGATCGGTCGGTCGGGCAAGCGGGCGGCCTTGGGCAGGCGGGCGGCCATGGGCCGCCGTCGTCACGTCGGCTCGTAGTTCGCCGCCGTTGGCATTGAATTGGTTTGGGCTGTGTAGGATTGGGTCGGTCGGTCGGTCGATCGGGAGGCCTGGTTCGCACAAACTTCTTCGTGGTCGCTCGGTCGGCTCCTACGCGTGACCTCTGTCTCCTTGCTTGTCGTCTCGATGCAGTGTCCAATGATAACCATTGTGCAAGAGTGTTTTTGCGGGTTGGCGTGTGCGTTACTGCTTTGGGAAGGGCCTTTGGTTGTGCGTGTTGGTTACAGGCATCGCCTAGCAGGCATGCTGCGGTCGTTTTGTTGGATTTACGCGAGCTTTGGGTGTTGGTTTCGCTGATGCTCTGGTGTAGGCTTCGTCTCCGCCCGACCGTGTCGGGTTCGGTTGGGGGTGGGGTTGGACCGAGTTTGGTTGGGATTGGGTTGAGGTTGGTAATGGGCGAGTTAGGTTGGGCGAGTTGGGTTGGGTAGGGTTGGGTCCGTCAGTCGGTCGATCGGGTGGCCTTGGGCCGCCTTCTTCGTCGATCGCGCCGCCCTTCGTTGCCTTCGGTTGCCCTTGTTGTAAATGCTGTCACGGCATGGAAGATTGAAGCTTGTTCCAGGGAGTTTGTTGTGCTCGTGAGTATGGAGCTGAATCAATTTTGGTACAACACTGCTGCATTATCTCAAATCAAGGAAAAGTGTTCCGAATGTATCACTCGTAGCCCTACGAGACGATCACGAATGTTTTTGTTTCAAGGCTATCACGCGAAACGTGAATGTGTTGTTGTTGAATGGGCAAATTGTGTGACGTGTACCTATACGCGATTTCCGACAACAAATGCACGTGGCAACAAATGCACTTGTAAGTTATTTTTTTTTCACCCATAACCAACTCAGAGAGACTCTATTTCAGAGCCTGAACTTGTCTTTGTGCAAGACCACCTCTTGTCTGCAGTGTACATTGCTTCTTGGATATGACGCGTGATTCTATTCTACCCGGCTCTTCTTCTCACAACTCTGTCTGTTTCCCGCTCTGCGGTTCTCTCTCGTTGTTTTTGTGTCGCTGCAGTGGGATGCCACAGCAACCACTGCCGAAAATCCTGTGACACGCAAAGGGACTGGCAGGTTATTTGTTCTCCACGAGAAGACGTAAGTTTCGGCATATTTGTTTTTGTGTGTTGTAGAAGCTAAGTGTTGCGTTGCTTTGTCGAAACGTAGTCGTTCTCCAAAACGACATCCATCAGTCGGTTGAGGATGAACGTTATCAAGGGAGTGTACGCGAGACGCCCGGGGTTGTTCCAGAGCGTTGTGGGCTACGGTGTCTTCGCCTCTGGCGATGTGATGGCGCAGCGGCTGGCCGATCCTGACCTGGAGTGGGATCACCGGCGTTCGTTATCGATCGGTCTCCTCGGCGTTGTGCAGAACGGCTTCTTGCTGAGGGTGTGGTACCGCACCCTCGACAAGTTCGTCACGCCCAAGGTGTGTGTGTGGATGACGGGGTTATCCTGAAACAGGGTTGTGTTGGTGATGCAGTCAAGTGGTGGGTGTTAGGGTAGGGTTGGTGTGCACCGGAAGCAAATAACCGTGCGAAAGGGCAAGCCAGTGCAAGAATGCTATTAGAGAAAATAAAAAGCGCTTCAGCGCATGGTGTGTGTGTGTGAGCATGCTGGTGTGTTCATGCATCCGATCCTGCTGGTCTTTTGGTCACGCTGAATGATTTAGTCGCTTCAGCTATTGGTTCATCATGAAAACCTTTTGACGTAGTTACCCTTATTCAACAACCGCATGTGCGATGACAGAACGACTGGTCTATTGGTATTCTGTGTCGTTGGGTTGGGTTGATATCTCCCCCATCTCGCTCGTGTGACATGCCAGCTCGTGCCACCTGCACCTTTTGCTTACGTCGGGGTGGAGTGCCTACAGAAATGGTGGTCTCCCGTGCTCACAGCCTGGGCGATAAAACTTACGTTCGGTCTCAGGGCTCTCTCCCTCCCTCTCTCTCTCTCTCTCTCTCTCTCTCTCTCTCTCTCTCTCTCTCTCTCTCTCTCTCTGTGTGTGTGTGTGTTAGCCTGCCTGATGTAGATACCCTTGTAGGTTAAACGCCAGATGAGGCAGAAACAAAATCGTCGACGAAGGAAAAAAACAAGATGGAGCAAGGCCTTTGTGTCGCATTTTGAAAGGCAAGATTACCATTGTGATATACGTACAGGGAGGCAGTGTCGCTTAGCGACGTGGGTTACAATCCGCTAGGTGCCACGTGCTTGATCTCCTCACCATAAAAATCGAGGCAGCGAATAGCTACGCGAACGACCCCAGATTTCGACATATTGCGGTACGAGATCCTCCACTTCCCTAAAAAACAGAAACAAAGCAGTTAGATGAAACAAACCCCCCGTATTCAACCCTTTATTGCTACCTGCGGCTGTTTTGTGGAGACTGTCGTCGGGTGCCTGACACAACAACGTGTGACAGCTACAAACAACCTTCGAAATATACAAGATACGAGTGACAGGCTGCAGCCTGCAAAGCTTTGTTTCGTCCCAAGGAGCAGCCTATGCCACGAATGTTCTTTTCGGCTTAACTATTGTACCGCGTGACAAGGAAGTAGTTTTGTCACGGCTGTGACTCAATTGTTTATTTCCTACTGTGGTTGTCTTGCGCGAACTTCATCATGCAGACCGATCTCAAGAGCGTGCTGAAGAAGATTGCGTGCGACGAGGCTGTGTTTGCCCCGCAGCTTGCTTGCTCCTACCTCGCGACGTCGGCGTACATCCAGAGCCCCGGGGATTGGGAAGCTGTCGGCGAAAACGTCAAGGGCAAGGTGAGAGAAGGAAGGGATGACCTCGCGGGGAAAAACTTCCCTTCATATTTGTTAACTGTCGATGCTCCCTTCATCTAGAAGCTTGGCTTGAACTCTACCTCTGCCAAACACCTCCACGCAAGCGTTGTGTTCATGGCATAGGGTTCGAGGCTAGGCCCTTCGTAGCTGTTGCTGTTTACCACGGTAGGATTTCTCAACGACCTCTCACGTGTAGCCTGGCATCCTCCGCACATGTTAGTGTGTCTTGAGTACAGTGTGGGATGGAAACGGGTTCGATTCAACTTCGGTGTGTGACGTACTATCCCACTAAAATTCCTTCAGGTGTGCAGAATTCACATCGAACGGGCTGTTGGCCAAGTACCAGTAGCTTTGACGTGCTTCGAACCGTCGAGGAAACGAGAACCTGAACCTTTCGCGCAACGCTAACCCCAGATTTTTGTTTTCCCTGGCGTTGGATATCAGCCAGTCAAGAACGAAGTCTTAGAAGGTTGCTTACCACCAACGTGCCACGTTCTTCATGCCCGCCCAGCGCCCCACGTCACACAATTGAGTGCCGTCTGCGAAAGGTTTTTGGCTGTGAGAGCAAACCCATAGCGCCACCTTGTCTCGGTTTCGTGTGATCTTGGTCAGGCATTCACGACCTGGCAGAACGACCTCAAGCTGTGGCCGATGGCCAACCTCATCGGCTTCTCGCTGGTGCCGCGGTCGATCCGTCCCCTCTACGCGAGCAGCGTGCAGCTGGTCTGGCAGTGCTACTTGAGCACGGCGGGCTTCGCAACACCGTCCGACGGAGGCAAGGTGCCGACGGTTGCCGCTTCCGTTTAGGCCGAGTTCGCCTCGCCTATGTAGCTAACTGCCGAGGCGATTATCGATGCACGCGACAGGAACGGGATCTGCATGCGATATTTTGCACACGTCGGCTTGCCACATGTGTTGGGGAGCTGCCAGTGGTTGAGTCAGGATTGTTAGGGTCGGGCTACCCGTACTCCAACCCATAACCCCGTCGTCGTGTTGTTACTATCCGTAATGTCCTGGGAATGTGGCCGTGCACGACGTCCGCTTTTGAAGGCGACCACCGCTTGCGAATCGCCCGGAGACGATCTGTGATCGTGGGTACAAACACGGGCATGTACGTGCTACCATGGAGGATTCCTTCACAGGAAACGCGTTGTCTTCGCAAGCTTGGGTTTGATGTATATTCAGTTTTGGGGAGGTCGAGCGTCGGCTGTTTTCATTGTCAGCCCCATTTTTCGGTCTCCTACGTCAACTCTTGCCACCACTAGCTGTTGGTTTTCAATGAGCAATTCTAGTGGCAATAAAAAAACTGGAGATTCACGCACATATCCACTTGATGGAGTTCGTTCTCCAACGTTCGTGGTGTCATTCAGATTTTCTGACGTGTTCAAAAGATTTTGATTAGCGAACGTTGCCCTTTTTAACGATGTTGTTTTGCTTTGCGTGATTGTGTGCTCGACGACGCCAAGCGTTTTTTTGTTGCGTCGAGGTACTGTACACAATTTTTGATACGCGTCACACTGTTTAGGTTATGCATATATTCAGCCGTTGTCAATTCAATAACCACATCGTGTCGGTGTCGGAAGTGTTTTGGATATATTGGTGTATTCGGGCATATATTGATGGGGAATGTTGCGGATGGGGAAGAGAGGGAACTGACGTTTCGAACGTGGGTGCGCTGCCTGTGCTGGCCTGTTCTGCTGATACGAGAGGATGGTTCGCTTCTTTGAAGACATGTATGCCTCATGTACAGTTGAAGACTTGCAGCCGGGTCTGCGTAGTTTATTGGCTCTTTTTCGTGTCCCTGTTGTTCCTTGTAGTGGGAAAGAAGGTTACAGGGAGGATGGCTTTCTCCACCCGATTCACCTGGTTGTGAGTGTACAACATGTACTAGTCTACATAGCGGCGCAGCAGAGTGTATGTTGGGTGTTCTGTGTAGACTATATCAACGGTGGGACGGGCCGTCGGCTGATGGTAGCAACTCATCACACGGGGTAGTCCCTCGCCGTATCCCTCTTGTGCTTCAAGATTTTTGAGCCACATGCTTTCGGGCGGTGAACTTCTGCTACGTTTGCTTCGAACAGTAACTCCCCTTGATCTCCCTTGGAATTGGCGTGCCTGTCACGGTTCGTACATGTTTCCGAGCACCGGTTGAGCGTAATGTACATGACGAAGGGATTCCCGTGTACTGTATGTCGCGGGGGTGGCAAGAGCAAGTGAGGATGGCCGTGTGCGGGTTTGTACATGTATTGACGGCGCGGGTTGGAGTTGGGATGGCAGGTGAGGTGAGTCTGTCTCTACTCTTGAGGTATTATATTGTAGTGGTTTCGGACGCGAATGGATGTGTAAAAAAGTAGACTGGAAGTTTTGAATTTCGTGTCCATCTCCGCCCTCTCTCAGACGGCAAAAGGCCGACCAAGTCGATCGCGTACGTGTCTTACGCACCGGCTGGGTAATCAGGTCGATGTGCGCTCGGCCTGGCGGAAATCTATGGCCAAACCTTGCTGAGGGTTGGTGGTTGCTGTTGATACGTCCATTGACATTGTACGACAGGGGGAGGTTAATGGGTGTCGTACGAGTTGTTGATGATGCATGTTACGAAATAATGTTGTGAATGAGTTGAGGGTCGAATGATCTTTGGGTTTGATGGGGCAAGACACAAGGAAAATGTTGGTGGGTATGTGGTCAAGACCAACACTTTCTGCCGCGTTAAAAGTACCGCGATATTACTCTAGGCTGTGTAGTCTGCGATTTGTTTTTCAGAGGACTACGTTTCGCGAATGTTTACAGGGGAGACTGCAAAGTTTTGCAGGAAAGAGGGAGAGGCGCCGGGCCGGGACTTTCACCCTCCTCACCGGAGAAAAAGTGCGTGTTGGGAGTATAGAGGTTGACTTCGAGGGGATGAGGCTTTCAGCAGTGATGATAAATATTCGTGTGCGTTCACATGAGAAAAACTACCCTTTCAAGTCGCCTGTTGAAGACGTCGAAGATCACGAGAAGGCGGTCACATCCTTCCCACGCTACTGCTGTGACGTGGTGATGTGAGCGAGGCTGCTTAGCGGGATGTGAGGGCATTCAGGCCGCAGCAACAGCATTTCGGGAGGGGATTCTCACCAAACAAAACATGCTTCATCTCTATCCACAGAATAGATTATTGCGCTAGTGTTGGCTGCTGCTGTGTGTGTGTCTATCTACGGCGTTCATATGGTCCGCTATCCTATTGTTCAGCAAATACTGAACAAATGGCCAGGCCTAAGGAAACCCACTTGTCTACATGTGTGCACCGGTCATTCAGGCGAAGGCACCAACCATCGATTCTAAACGAAGCCACAAATTCCATCTACGGTATGCATCCAATATGACGAGGACCGGAAAGGTGGAACCTTCCGGACCCCACCGTGTCCCGAATTGTCTGCTGACTGGATACCACGCAGTTTCAGCCTGCCAAAAGCGCAAATGATGTAGTAATTTGTTTGGACAGACATCATGCTTCATCGAAACAATGGACCGAAGGCAAGGGCAACTTTGTACGAAATAGGCTGGCGCTGTGACCCCCGCCTCTACCGTGAGAAAGTAACTTCTACAGTCCTCGTCGATTTCACCAAGCCTCCGGGCGCGTGCGGTCATAAATTAGTCGCACAACATCGCCCCGCCAAGTGGACTGCGGGCGTGAGGGGCACCCTCGATGTCTGATGCGGTTCACGAGGAGGCCAGCATGTCTCGGAGCTGTTTGGCAGCGACCTCGTAGGCAAAGAAGCCGATCATCGACATCGGCACAGCTCGGGCAAGCTTGAGGCCGAAGCCTCGATAGAAGACCCCCATCCCGTCTACGCTAGCCATGTGCTGCGCCGTGGCCACAACCCCACCTGGAACCTTTCCCATACCGGCGGCTTGTATCCTAGTCTTGATTACGTCAAACGGGTACCCTGCAAAACGAAATGCGAGAGCGGGCCAAGATGCGGGATAGGAGTGAGAGACAGAGGAGGGTGGGGTGGGGGCTCCTTTGAATCCGTCTTCGATGTCTCACCCACACCATCGACCACGACGTTCGTTATTCTCGCATGCGCGGCGCGCATAACTTCCGTGTCCAATACCTAGTTGTTAACAAGTTGCGCAAACATCTGTCTGCAGCCAGCAAATGAATGAAAAGGCTGTGCAGACGATTGCCTGCGTGGACAGCTACAAAACATGGTAGGGTTGTCTGGTCGTCAACGTGGGCTGACGGATTCTCGGCGTCAATCAAACTATGGTTTTGACTTCGTCTATCGCAATCTGAGAGTACTTGGAGCTGATCAGTTTGCGTCTTGTACACATCCACATCCGTTGTGTTGAACAACAAGTGTTGTTAATGGCCGAAGTTCGTTGTGTTCTTGCTGTTAGAGCCAGCACAGAGCGTTGGGGTGTCCAGCGGAGGCCAACACATTTGGTAATACCCTGCAAGGCCACATACAACACGTAGCTCGGGGCAATCAAAGAACAGAACGCTGGGGGGGGGAGAGGCTGCACCGAGCCCGTTTCGGCAAAACGTGAGACAAATAAAGAGCAAGTAGAAATGCACGTGAATGCTTTTGCTGTGCGGAGAGGGAGCAGCAGCAGGCCCCATTCCGTCATACAAAGAGCGCCATTGAGGGCTGACCAAGTGATTTCAATCGACAGTGGCCTTCAAACAGACCACAACATCGGGCGACCCTCAAACGGAGCCAGACAGCAGTGAAGGGACCAAGGGTTACGGATGGGGAATGTTGGCTGTGCGCATCCACTCACCGACGAGCCAAGCGGTCGTCGCCGCGATGCCCCCCGATGCCAGCTGAGCCGCGACGCTAAGGGCGCCGTTGTCGCAGGCCTTGACGCCTTCTCTTGCGGAAAACTCTTGCTTGCACCACTCGTAAGACGCAAACCACACCCCGTGAGGGAGGACGTCCCTGCCCATCGTTGCCCCGAGACCCGTCGAGAGTAACCCCGATAGCCCGAACGTGCGCACTACCCCCGTCGCCAGAGCGAAAGCGCCTCCGCCCCCGGTGCCGGTGCCGGTGGCCGCCGCGCTGAGCACGACGCGGTCCTCTAGCTGAAGCCGCACTTTGACCAGTTCGACAGGACTCATGACGAAGCTCTACGCGAAGACAAACGGGTTGGAGAGAAGGCAAATGGCAGGTTTTGGACTGAAGGGAGCCGTGGTTTTCGAGATGTAGCTGCTCGGCTAGGATAAGTTGAGTAACCATGGCCATTTCGCCACCGGTTGTTACTGTTGTCTCGCATGAGCACTCCTGGTCATTGGTCCCCCTCCCCCTCCTGGTCATTGGTCCCCCTCCCCCTTCTACAAGACACCGACCACCAAACCAAGGTTGAGACCATGTTCCTGGCCAAGTGGGTTGGGGTTTTGAGCGGATCCGTAGCCTTGGGCGTTCGACGCGAGGAAGCCCCGGGCTGGGCACTCTCGCGGCGCGTTCTATCTTCTGGTGGTAAACGTACCAGTTGCCTTGTTGTTGGTTTTGGTCATTGGCACTGCTGTTGCTGCCGCGTTTCACTTGCGTGCACAACTCGTCTGTCTCTGTCGTACAGGTAAGGTCTTGGGAATGCAGGCCCTCTTTCGACAAGTCACTATGCAACCTACAGCCAACCAGGAGGGCCAAAACGTACACGAAAGTCACCGCGCAAGCGTCCACACAAAACCAGAGGCAGCGAGGCAGGGAGGTAAGGACCGGGATCAAGAGAGAGAGAGAGATATCCCCAAAGACGAAGGAGAGACACCATGCAAAGACCTCGCGCAAACAAACAACAACTCACCTGCGCGAATCCCCCGGCGCAACCCCCCGCAAACACATGCCACAAGGAAGACGGGGCCCCGTCCTGCCGCCGCCCCCCCGAACACCACCCCAGACCGGCTCCGTATCCGGCGAACAGGAGGGCGTTCTGTGCGGGCACACTCCACATCATCGGGGCCGCCCCCTTCCAGAGCGATCGGGCGCCGCCGCCGGAGGACAGAAGGTCCCTGATCGCGGCTGGGAGAGAGCTGCTGCCTGCTGCTGTTCCGGCCTGCACCCGGACTAGGACGCTGTCCAGGGGCTGGAGCATGGGGAAGAGTGAAGAGGGGGGTGGAGGGTTAAGGGGAAGCCATAAGGATGACCTGGCTACGTTTAATTATCGGGCAAGGCATGGTCATCTCCAAAGCGAAACAGACCTCGCAACCATAAGCTTGGTGTGCGTACATACTGCTGGTACGTAGGCGCTTGTAGCTGTAGATACTGCTGTAGACTGCGGTATAGCCCAGAACTTTTTTTGCCCACAGTAGTATTGCTCGCTCGCCATGCAGGTTGCCTCCTGTCCTGTGTAGATGCTGCAGTATTATGCAACCCCCCTCGCACTATCGTGGGCCCGTGTACCCACAGCGTTTGCGGTCCGCACGCGCACCCCACACCGACATCAACACACAAGCACAGCATGTATGAAATGATGTACAGGTACAACATTGTACACTGCTGCCGCGCTTTTCCGCCTAAAGCAGTCACAAGTGTACATTCCAAAACAACGGCCCCGAGGAGGTATGGCAAACAACCCCCACGGATTTGATGGAACTCCTCGCTTTAGTCGGTCTAGACTACGGCAGTACACAAACGTTGGCGTGGGGGATTCAGGCTGGCCTCTTCGCCGGGTAAAGCATGGACAGGAAGGGTTCGTGACAAACACAAGACAGCCGCCGATCAAGCAACCCTGTCATCGAGTCAAATAAACGCTGCAGCAAGACCACGCAAGATACGAGGGAGACAGATCCAGACAAATATATGCATATCTGTACAGAGAAAGCTCGCCCCTACACATCCGTGGAGCGCAGGACGGTTTGCTCTCCCTCCTCTCGCTCTCGCTCTGTTGGTACTTGAATCTGTCGGTGCATGTTCTGGTGTTCTGGTTGAATCCACTCATCCAGCGCTGTAAACTTCATATGGTTTTGCACCGATAAACTGATGACGCTTACCTGGGTTAATACAATACTTGCGGCGCCGGAGACCCAGCCAGCTCCGAAGTCCACCAACCCTTCAGCCATCCTCCTCCCGTTGCACTCCTGCTGTGCGATGAGCAGCAAGCGGTGCGGGTGTTGCGTTGGTACTCAGCTGTCATACAAAGCTTCGGAACTTCGGTTCTCTCGGGTTTTTTGTTCTTCCTTTTTAACAGTCCCGTGCATTGGAAGCACATGCACACCTGCACAGTAGCAGTGCAGCAGCACACCCGTTTTTCCGAGAGAGACAGATCGAGTTCGGAGTCATGCCCCCCTTCAATCTGCGAGCGCTCGGTCGTGCAGCAGGTGTCACGCGTCGCCGTGAGCTCGTTCGGTTAGCGCCGCCACGCACGCAAGCGAGACAGCATCATCCCTCTGTGAGTCAAACAGCAAGAGACATCATCTTGATCTTGACTTTCACATGCATGCGCTAAACCATGGATCTGCAGCACCCCATGAGTCTCCTCAGGCTAGGGATGAAGCGACCTGATAATAGTTGGATTAGACCTCGCCTAGATTTCTCTTAGTGGCTTGCCAGCACAACCTGCTGCTGCGCATGATGGGCATGACGCACGACGGCGATGCCTCACCCGGCCTTTTCGTCAATTTGCTAAAGATCCCAGAAGAGGTTCCGTCCCACCCGAGATGATCCCCGATGGTCTGTGGGACCTAACCCAACTGCCCCGATTATGCGCTCTATCCAACATGTTTCCTGAATACGAACACCCTGCCAAGGCTACTGCTGTCTCTGTGCCTCGTCTCTGTGCCCCGCGGTTCTGTTAATAGTCAGGAGACACAGCTCCTGTTCTGCTTCTCGTTGCCATAACAAACGATTTTCTTCCTCATGTTGCAGCAGTACATAGTGCCGTTAGCACAGCCGAATCTGCTGCACGAAGTCTAGACTACGTATGTACAGCAGTCCTACTGTAGATCCCCACCTCCTTCAACCCTGACCTTCTCAGAAAACATGAAAAACATGCAGTCTACATATCATACGTACCCGCACAGTAAACTGCTGCTGTCCACTACAACAGAACTCCTATTTTTGTTCGTCAGTTTCAACAGCGTGTATTCTTGTGATCAGGTTAGGCTACATACAAAAAAGAAGACTAGTCTAGACTACAGTCTACGTGACGTGAAATCACGGAGACTTCACACCCGTTCGAGACTACCGCTGTACATCTATAGTATTCCAATAGAAGGATGTGTTGAATTCTTTAGCAGTACTGCTGTACTCAGGCGCTTTGGGTGAGCGGAAGTCCGGAATGTGGTGGGTATGACCTGCCACCGGAGACTGGCTATTTCCTTTGGTGCGATGTGGCGAGGAAAGCCAAGCGTGACCGAGCGAACTCGGTCAAGCCAGGGTAGTGCGGAGAGTGGGCAAGCCTTCGTAGACTCATTAGTTTTTTTATTTTTTCAGTATGACCCAACGAATCCATCTCTATCGAAGAAAACAGTCTAAGATATACTAATACAGTAGATTAGAAATTAATCCATAGCGTCAGCAGCCCCCAAAGATGCATGAACAAGTCGCAGCTACATTGGAATAAGAAGATGACGAACCCTAGGACCCTTGGGAAGAAACCATGTTTTTTTCTCACATCCTTCAGATCTTACTCTTTATAGCCGTGTGTCTGTGCTTCATGAATTTCCGTATCTTGGCCTCCATATGAGTGCTGAGAAAACTGCTAAGGATTTTAGTGATTGATACCGCCCGGTACACCTCAGGACACCTTCACACAATAGAAAACGGTTCTACAAATACCTGGTACCAGGTGAGTTGCATTCTCTCTGTATCATGCTTGTGTGTCCGGAGCAGTTTGGACAAGGCAACGCTGTAACGGCAGTATTGGTCCCGATACACCACAAGGAAGGGTGTACAAGTAGCGTACAATAGTGGCGGAGAAATCACTACTGTATGCCATATCTGGACACGGCACTATTGAGTGTTGGGGATTATTCAAGTAGGTAGCCAAAACTCGTGACAAGCGATGGATACCGCGCGGTTATACCGGAACCCTCACAACTCGGGACCGCCGCTATCGGGAGCACCACTGCTGTAACCAGTTTTATTAATAGCCCTCTCGCGCTGACGACGGTGAACACGATGACAACCGAAACGAACATGTTAAAGCCTTTCGACGACGATGGCGACTCGAACGCGACCAAGTGGAAGAAAACACAGGGTTGGCGAGCGGCCCAGGCTGAGAGGGACCTGCCGACAACGGTCCACGACAAAGAGGTATGAAAAAAACTTACGGCGGTGGCGTGCTTCAGAATGCTTATGTGGTTTATTTTGGAAATAACCTCGACAGCTCCTGGGAATCCGATTATCGGCATTTTGAACAGTTTCCACGGCCAACGGCAAGGAAGACAAGGATCTCGTCCAGCGTTCCTGCCCTGGTATAATTTACGGTTTGGCGAAATCAGAAGGCTGCATGTCGCGTTCCTTGTCATGACTCGTGGTGACTGTTGTCCTTGGCAGTAGGATCACGCAAGATACGAACCGCAACGTGTACAATTAATGATCAAACCACATTGTTTTCACTCTCCGGCGAAGGCGTGATAATGTAACCGTGTGACTTCCTGGGCAGGTGGAAAAGGGTCTCGAGCATGGCTTGCCCGGGGCCAGCTCCATCGTGGACAGGACCATCCCCACGTTTAGCAGAGGCGAGCTGCCTCACTTCGCGGGTATAAATACCTTCATGAAGGTAAACGAAGAACCAATCGACTTTCATTGGTATCCCCGCCTGTCGCGATGAGTGTCAGCTCTTTCCTGGTACAGAGGCGATGAGTTTTCTATTCCCAACCGATAGCGCCAGGCATATAATCTAGATAGAAGTGACCCAGTTGTTTTTCTTCTGTTTTATTATCAAAAAGCTGGACTGCTTGCACGAACCAACCCTTGGGTGCCGGCAATCTCGTGATTTTGTTGACAGGCTCCCTTCCTGGACGATATTCGCGACGTGGGCACCTACGATGTCGCCGTCTTAGGCGTGCCCTTCGATGGCGGGACCACCTACCGCCCCGGCACTCGCTTCGGCCCACAGGGGATCCGACGCATCTCGGCCTTATGTGCGTGGAAGAGCTACTTGGTGGACTTGATGCATCGCGTTTCCTCCCCAGCATGCTTCGTCGTAGTCTAGCAGCCGTGCTTTATCGTCGTGAACGAGCACGCTGTTTGGTACTGGGGTGGGCTGTGACCTTCGTCGAGCATTCGCGACGTGCCATAGGCGTGCATCACGCCCCCACGTACTCTCCCCGTTCGCGTCGAATGTCTTGCTGCATTCCCACCTGTTCGGGTAGCGACCAATCCCTTTAACGGCACGCCCTTAGGCTAGACCCCCGACGCTTCGTGCCTCAGTGTTTGGTGCGGTGCACGCGTTCACGCCCAAACCTCGGAACGCCGTACCTCTCGCGTGGCAGACACCCCTTACAACTACGAGACTGGGGTAGACCTGCGCGAACAGATGACCATGTGCGACGTCGGAGACGTGTTCACGATCCCGGCCAACATCGAGAAGACCTTCGACCAGATCTCCAACGCCGTTGCCTACGTATCCGCTTCGGGGGCAATGCCGATCATCATGGGGGGGGACCACTCCATCGGCTTCCCCACCGTACGCGGGTGAGAGAGGAAACACTACGCCAGGGAGATTCCTCGCGTTAGGTTTTAGACTTAATCATTGGGGTTAGGGTCATGGACCTGGGTCCTGTGTAGGCGCTAGGTGTCTAGCGATACCGGACAGTTTCGTGTGATTTCCATGCCTTGCGTGGGCGAGCCTCTCTCGAATCTGTAAACTGTAGCAGATGAACGAGCCCAGCAAGGTAAAATGTTGGCTACTCATTGCATTGGTTCTAATGCCGGTCGCCCCGGTGGTCTAGTTGGTAGCCTCGTAACCTTCTAGAGGTCAGGTCAGGGGTTCGAATCCCGGCGTAGGCGAGCTTTTCTTGCAAAGTGAGTTTTTCTCTCGCTTCCGCTCCTGGCCAAGTGGATAGCGCTAGTTCGTGTGTACACAGAGGGAAGAGAGTACTGAACTCTTCTCACATTAAAAATTGAAGGCGAAGTACCGCAGGAGGGGAGGGTAGAGAGAGGCTCTTCTGTATGACCACGGGTTGGAATAAACGGCACTAGTGCTGTGAGCGCTGATTTGAAGTGAAGAAAAAAAAAAAAAAAAAAAACTACAGAAACAGGTATGGCCCGGGGACTTGGTGGGGATTGAGTATCCAGCCGCAAGGCTTGGTCAACTGCAAGCCGAATCGCTATGTCTGTCGCACGACATTTGATCCTGTATCGGTAACAACCTTCTTGTCGGTAATGCTGTTGTCGATTTTTGCCGTGTAGTGTCCTTTTTCGTTCCTTCCCTCCAGTCTAGGAATCGCCGCAACCTTGCCCTGTACGGAATGGGCATCATCCGTTGCCCTCTGACGCCTTTCTGAAAAAATTAAAACCTCGTTGTCTTTCCGCACATCTCCACCCTGAGCCCAACTCCAAGCCTGAAAAAACGACTATCCTGAAGCTATGTTTACCCTATCTCCGGTTGTGTCCCTAACCCTCAGGATTGCGTCCGTGACCTCTAAGAACATCGGCATCATCCACGTCGACCGTCACGCCGACATCCAGGAAAAGGACCTGGACGAGAGGATGCACACCACGCCCTACTTCCACGCGACTAACATCCCTAACGTGCCGGCGAAGAACCTCGTTCAGATCGGCATCGGCGGCTGGCAGGTAAAGGCGTTGATTGATTTGCGCTGATAAGACATGGACGGTGGATAGGTATGTAGATCGATGCATCCGCGGAGTAAGTTGCCTTGTAGGCCACGGAAAGGTTGGAGAAGGAGATGCCCACGGTGCTGGGACATGACGCAAGGTTCCCCGGCCGCTAGCACTGTCTGAGCGTTGTTTCTTACTTTTTCGTAGATCTGTGTTTTCTTGACGTGTTCGCTTCCTCCGCCGCCGCCCTCCACCACCCACTACAACATACAAAACAACAACAACAGGTTCCGCGCGCTTCTTTGAAGAACATGCGCGACCGGCAGACGAACATCTTCACCATGCAGGTACAATTCGACGACGTCAATACTTCTGTCTTCCAAATACGTTTTGTCGCAAGGAAGACGGTGTTGCTGTGATACCAAAGATGGCGTCAAGAGACACCAACAACCTAAGTAGGACGTACACTACGGGCTGACGATAGCTATTGCCACCATAACTGCAAGTAGAACAATGGTGGAGTGTGATTGCTCTGACAGACAGGGTTGTTTGCTTGCGTCGAAACTACGACGAGGTTTTAGCCTCAGAATCCAGCATGGCTGCCTAATCCCAGAAAAGCTATTAAGGAGATGATAAACGTAGACCAGTCCCCTCGTCTCAGAATGATCCAAGGTTGACCAGCATCACGCGCAAGAACGTGAGCCATTGCCTTTTCGTGGTTGATGGGACTGGGGGAGCCCATGTACCCATCTTGACGCCACCTGACGTCATGAACGACCTCCACAGGATCTCGAGGACTTCGGCATGGACAAGGTCATCGAGATGGCGCTCGAAGCGGCTTGGGACGGCTGCGACGCAGTCTACATGTCCTGTGAGATTTGTTTTTGCTTTTTACCTCTAGCGCTAGGGGCAACCCCATCCTATCCCCACCTCCTACCGGAGGGGGACGGCTGCACCGCCGTTTGCGCGCTGATCTGACCCTCACCTTGCCTTGACCCTCAGCCTAACTCCTGATAACACAGGACAGCTGAACCTCCGCGTGACACGTCCTGTGATGGTCGCATTGTTGCAGGCTTCAAGGGAGGTGCCAAAGGGAAGCCGGTTCTTGTACGTATCAAGCACCATTGATAGTACTGGGCTGCTAAAACGTTTGACAGGGCCGCGCCGCCAACCGTAGCCTGTCACGTAATTCGCGCACGTAGTTTTTGACATTAGCTTCGTGTTGACCCATCTCGCGTACGCCTTGTTCAGCCGTTGCCTTTGTGTCTTCCCCGTCATGTGTCGCAGATGACATCGATTCCTTGGACGCGGCCTTCGTCCCCGGTACCGGTTGGCCGGAGCCTGGGGGGCTGCTCCCCCGGGAGGCGCACAAGTTGGTCGGAGGCGTTGCCAAGGAGGGACTGTGTGGCATGGAGCTCGTCGAGGTGATGCGTCAGATTGTGTTGTAGGTGCAGTTAGGCCCGGAGCCCTCTCTGTATTTGGTGGAATAAAGTGCGGACATGTTCTTTGGTTTCTTTGTGCCATGCCCAAAGCGTCACTGAGGAGCATCGAGCACTATTGGCGATGGAGTGGAATAGTATTGAGGTGTACACAGACATAATGTGGTGTTTACGGGAGTAAATTGGCTCAATGCGACGTGAAAAACGGGCCCCGCCTTGCGAGCATTCGTGTGCTCCCCCCCCCCCCAGAAAAACAAATCCCCGCCGCCCGGCTTGACACTGATGCAGTGCACCAGGCAGTGCACCATGCCAGCTCTGGCTAAAGGACTCTCCACCCGCCAGTACACACCTTAACTCCCTCGTGGTATACGCCACCGTCGACCAACCCCCCCACACCTTTGTTGCCTGTTGTTGTAAATTGCTCGGTGAACAGGTTAGTCCCCCGTACGACGTTTCGGACACCACCTCGCTGCAGGCCTTGCGGTTGATCGTGGAGACAATGGGGTCGCTCGTCTCACACGACAAGATGGGGTCCCACAAGGACATCATTGACAAGGAGTTCACACCCTTCTAAAGGCGCTTTTCAATTTTTGCGCCATGTCGTCGGAAGGGATCCTCGTGTCATTTCTGCCGTCTTTATCTTCCAATCGTTCAAACCATTTTTTTATCGTGGGCGCAAGCTCCTGGTAGAATCGAAACCTCTTGGCATGTTTATATGGAAAGGTGGGTAACGCCTACTACGCGCTTTTCGCGATAAAATTGAAACAGGGCACCGCGACGTATTCTTGTATCGGCATCGTAGCTTCTCAACAGAAATGCACCACCGCAAGGCAGGAGGAAGCACTGCTGTGGTGCCGTGCTCTAAACGTGGGTTACTTGCGATTGCTGAGTACAAAGGCGTAACAAATGTTGTATCGTGTTGTTTCAAGGAGTTGGCAGAGACCCCCTGTATTTGTTTGCGATGTCTACATGGCAATCAGGTGTGAATAAAGTACACAATATATGAGTTCAGACGAAATATCACATGGGTTGGGATGGGGGGCAGGGGCGTTGGTGTAGGCTGTGACGGAGAACGCGAGGTGTCGCTGAATTAAACGTGGTAGTGTTTTCTCTCGCTGCAGCAGCAGCAGCAGCCACCGCAGATAGTGGGGGGTCCATGTCACAACAATGGCAGCGGCGCTGCCGAGGTTTCGGTTTGTACCGTCGCTGTGTCGCGTGCTTGCGTTTGGAACGTTTTCGCCAGAAAACGAAAAAAAAAACCGCGATGGTTCTATGCCACGACCAATAGAAAGTTCCGGCGACGAATAGACAGTAACATGCCGACCGTGCAACGGTGGTGGTGTGCTTGGTTGGGTGTTGCCGAGGCCGTGTGCGGCAGGGTGATTCCCGGAGGTACAGGGGCTAACATATATGCGTAGAAAGCGGTTCGATCGAATCCTGGTTTACATTCTGCCTCTTCTCCTTCGCCTTCCATGCAAGCGACATGCGCTCCCTACCCGTTTTGCACCCTAATAACGTCGAGCATCCGTAATCATCCTTATGATGTTGCCCAGAGTAGATGGTGCAGGCATGTGTACTCACGGTACAAGAACGACTACTGCTGAGTGGCGATAGACTTGCCGAAACTTTTATTAAAGTAAAAACAATTAAACTGCTGTCATCAAATGCCCTCCAACACCCTGTACAACACCTTCCACACCGTACTGGAGTTACAGTGGGCGGGCTCCACCGCCCTACGTACAACTGGACGACGTGAAGCCCTACTTATTCCCAACCCCAACTTAAACACGCCTACAACTAGGACACACGAAAACTCACAACACTCCGCACCAAACGTACTGTGAGCAAACAAAAAACAGCAACCTTTCTACATATTGGACCCCCCTTTTTGTGTAATGCCCACAACACACCAAACTACATTGAGGGGGTTGTACAGAACACTAGAAATTACAATCAGCAGTCTAGCACGAGGCGAGAGAGGTGGCTAGCAAAAAGACAAGGCCTCGAAACGATACTTGCTTGATTTCGACTCTTGGTAAAAACAATGGTATCCAGCAACAAAGCAACCCTTCTCTCTCCCTCAGCCTTCTGGTGCCGCGGACGCCGGAGACGAAGCCGATGATGACAGGCCCAACGCTTCCTGTTGTTTAGAATGGTCGAGGCAAGGCGTTTGCTTAATGGGCCACAACAACATCCAAAGCGAAGCACATCCACAACAAGAGTAAATAGTCAGCGCTGACTAATGGTCTAGTGGTCATCGTGCTTCTCAACAGCAACCGCCACCGAACACATTTCAACATAGGTCGATTTGGCTGCGAGTACACGGTCGTTCGGTGAACTATCAGCGATTTCTGTGATGACGATCATCTTCCCCGAGCTTTGACGCGTACTTCAGAGGTTGCTTTGCTCTGAGCCCCGTCTGACTCTGGCCTACAGCAGCCGGCCGCCCGACGGGGCAGCGGGCAACCTTGTCCAACGTCGGGCGGCTACGTAGGTCGTGACTAAGTCAAATTTGGTCGGGGACATACGTTTTCGTACCAAGTATATTCACAGCTTGTACGTCAGGGGATACATTGCTCGACAACTCCTGCGTTCAGGACGAAGGTATGCATCACAGGAGAGCCCTCCTACACCACTCCGGATCGAACCTCCCCACTCGTGAAGCCAGGTAACATACCGTAGGACAAAGTGCAGGTAACGGCACCAAGAAAATGGACGCAAGAACAAGAAGAAAGTTGTCATAGGAACATTGTGTGGACTGACCTGTAGTGACATGTCCTGCAGGCGAGACGAGATGTCTTCGTTCTGCGCCCTCACTGACGACATGAGGGTGTTACCACCTCCTGCGTCAGCTTCGCCCGTTGCAGCCGCTATCACATGGTCGCCGTCGTATCCATCAGAAACGCTGACCACATCCCCACGACCTGCGGAAACATTGCCAGCCTCATCTCTCGCCTCTACACCGTCCCCAACACCGTGTCTTCGCCCGCCCTCGTCGTCTTCCGCACTCGCATCGCCGTCACCGTCGCGAACATCTACAGCGCCCAGAGCCAGCATGAGCTCCCTGAGGTTTTCCTTTTCCGCCTCGGTATCGTCCGTGTCGCTGCCCGCCGCCCGCCCGTACCCGCTTGCACGAGCAACAGCTGTTCTTCTAACCCCGCCACGAGCTGCTTGTGCGGAGGGTGGTCCTGCTGTTGCTGCGGCTGCTACGGGCAAAGTATTGTCAGGTGCGGCCGTTGATGACGCCTGCGAAGCGTTTTGTCGTACCGGGTTAGATCCCCGAGAGCGCACCGTGATTGGCGGCGCCAGGCGGGACTGCTTTCTCGTCTCGTCCCCTCTCCGAGAGTCTACCTTACGGGGCGGTGTTCTTCCCACTCCTCCTCCTCCTCCACCACCACCACCACTCTAGCGAGAGCCAGCAGCCGGAGCAAGAGCCGACACCTAGAGCAG